TGCAGAGAGCTCTGGCAGAGGATCAGCTAGACCTGCTCCTGCACTGGGGCCTGGAGATCAATAGCTGGCTTAACAGGTGAGCTCATGTAAACAGGACATACTGTAACAGATAGGGTACAAAACCCAAGAAGAGACAAAGAAACGGAACAATATACTGTATTTTTATTGATGGGAAAAAAGAAGCGCAACACCTCCTCCTCCACACTCTGGCCCTCCTGTCTGGGTGGAACAGGCTGAAGAGTGACTCATCTGTTAAGAGGACCTGATGCCACTGCTGACGAGTCCATCGCAGCCTCCGTCTGGCCTAAGCCAGTCGGATGTGACGTCTAGGAGGTGTGAGCAGAGAGCCTTGCTCTAAAACCAGTAGCATGGAGCCCCAATGTCCTGTCACTGATGCAGGCATTGTGTCTGCCGGTAGTATCAGCAGCAGTACAGATGGCAGATCTGAAACGATCTCTCAGATGGACCAGTCTGATGTGTGTGGTCACAGGGTGTGGTCACTCGAGGGCGACTGGATCTTGGATGGTCATCTGTCCTGCCAGTCTGATGAAACCTTCTCTGCAGTCGAGACACAGTGGAGCGGCTTACTCCATAGTGTCTGGCAACATTGACACATGACATGCCTGCCTGCAGCATGCCAGTGGCCCTCTCCCTTGCTTCTGGTGACATTCGAGGCATCATGGAATGCACAGAAAACTGACTAAATGTGGCCTTTTTCTTGCAGTGACCTAAGCTTTGAATTAAGGCCTTTTTAAAGGTGGCCTGATCAGGCATTGTTCCACCTGGACATCGTTGGGTTAAAGTGCACCTAACGAGTTTTCGTGTGATTGGCAAGTTGCAATACCTCACTGCACAAGCTGTATTGCTGGTCAGAGGGCTTAAAACAAATTGACAACTTTTTGTGAAAACACATAAGTTTTAACTATAGTACTCTAATTCCAGAAAATGTTGCCTTTCTTTTTTCCATCAATATATGTTGTCACTAAGATACACTACATTACCTTTACACATGGTACTGTACAGTATGTAAATATTAATTACTGTAAACCTTCAGTATAATGAACTCTACTGACTTAGAGACCTTGTCAAAGGACCTAATTACATTTACTGTATCTACCATCCCTGCCATTGCTACATTGACTTCTACAGTATGTACTTAGTGTTCACCTCCCATCATACCTTTTGTTTTTGTTGCTTTTTTGTGCTTTTCAGATCTTTTATTTGTAACTTTCGTGTTGATTCTAGGTGTCAAAGCTTGCAGGGAGGATGCAATGACATGATTAATGCTATTGATGACATAATTAATTACATATATTGTGTTATTCATGAAAAAAAGTCTATTAGTCTTGATCGGTTCTACTGTATATAATATATCTGAAATTGGTTTACATAGAAACAATGCTGGGTGATTTAAGTAACTGATTTCTTAAAATAAGG